GTGCCCCACACCTTGGGTCACTGCAAATGGTTTTGCAATTGCCTCAAACTTCCCAGTGTTTGAGTAATTCCTATGCATCTTTTATATCTTAGCTCAAATGTAATTTCCCCCAGGGAAGTCTTGCTGACACCCAGTCCACATCCAATTTATTTGTGATGTACTCTCAATCTGTATATATGTGATTGTTAATTGATATCTGTTTCCCTAGCTAGACCACCGGTTCCATGAGGACACAATTTATGTCCATTTTTTCTACTTTGTATTCTCCGCACTGAGCTTTGTATATTTACTGAATATGTGTTAATCAACACATATTAAAAGTACTATTACCACTGTTTCATTATTTTAAGAATATTGAGAAGTAGTCCTCCTACTTGAAAATGTGGGAAGCCACATTGGGAGGAGAATACATGACACTTTTATGGGCATCACTTATGTGCATTTTATGTGCATCACTTCCAGCTATAATCCACTGAGACAAATCTGTCACATAGCCCCATCTATTTTCCAAGTACCAAGGAATAAAAGGATATAAGTTTGATGAGCATCTATCCAGTCTCTGCTACAGTCTGTTCTTTAGGACACTAAATATTCATTCCTTCTTGTTCCTTTACAGAACACACCTTTCCTCTCCCCAAAGATGACAACCGAAAGTTCCCCCCAGGCACTGCATCCAGCTCAGAGAACAGGACTTCCAGCTGCTGTGTAGTTTTATCCAACAAGTTCAGACGTGGTTCCTTATGGTCCAGTAATATGAGACCCAAGTACAGAAGGTATCTCCACCTTCCCCAAAGCATATAACATACAGTAACAGAGCAGGTATAGGATAACCTCAGTAAAACTCCATCAGTGAAAGGAAAGATAGTAAACACAATAGTCACCAGTCCAAAGATGTTGTAGAATTCTATTGGAAAGTCACTGAGAAGGCCCCCTAACCTGAAGGTGGGGAAGCTCCTTGAATAGACAATGATTTTGTCCTGGGAAGTACTCTCTTCAGTTTTTTAGTGGCCTCTGCATCTACTCTCTGAGAAGCCTTTTACTTGCTCCTTGGCTACATCTTGCTATTACTCTCCTTGGAGGTTGTATGGCTTGTGTCACCTACTTCCTGATAAATCTAAGTTATCTTACTTTTTGAACATTCAATTACATCAAGGTTCATGATTTCTTTGGGAATGAAATTCTCTAAAAAAATCTGTTAGACTTTTTAATCTATTTGCTTCCAGTTAATTCTGTCTGACAATAACCACATTCAAAGTCTTTTTACATTTTTTGAGACGGAGTCTCACTCTGTTGCCAGGCTGGAGTGCAGTGGCACGATCTCAGCTCACTGCAACCTCCACTTCCCAGGTTCAAGCGATTCTCCTGCCTCAGCCTCTCAAGTAGCTGGGATTACAGGCGCCTGCCACCATGCCCAGCTAATTTTTATATTTTTAGTAGAGACGGGGTTTCACCATGCTGACCAGGATGCAAAGTCATTTTTTTAACATATGGTTCTAAAATATCCTTTGTATCTTTGTTTCCCTTACCCCTTGGATTAGTCTCTCAATAATGACTGCCATGAGGGTATCTGAGATAATGGGCTGGGTGGTAAAAGATGTACTTTTAATATGCTTTTTGCTGCAATGTTAAGTATTAGTAGATATTTGCTTAAAACCAAGACCCCAAGTACCTAGTATCTCTCTATGCCCTTTCATTTCCAATTGGAAACTAGCCAGGACTTTTCTCAGTTTATCTCATGTTTATAATAACTTCCCAAAGCCAGCCAGAAACCAGCAATATATTTTAATAATGCATTTCCCAACTTCTTTACCTAAAGCTACAAAGCTCAGTAGGTATATGGTCTAGATTCCAACTTATTTTTGGTGGCAGTTTTTACCATTACTAATGTAAGATGCATCTCCAACCTTCTAACTTGCTATACCTGGCTTCATGCTGCCACTTAGTGTAAACCACTAACCCAGTACCACAGCTCTTCCCTGTGCCTTATGCTTTACTTTATTTTTGACCGAGTCTAAATAACTCTGTCTTTCTAATATCTGCAAAATCTCTCCCCTCAACACTATCCCCAGTGCTACTACCTTCATTTAAGTTGTCTTTCGTCATGTGCATTACTGTCTCCTTATTGGTCTCTATGCCTCTAAAATCCATCACACCCCATCTCCACAGCCAGTAAACATGCTAAAATGCAAACATTATCACTGCAACTTCTCTTTAAAACATTTAAATTGTTCTCAAAGCTTTTAGGTTAAAATTCAATGTTGTTCAGTATCTAGTCTGTTATCTCTAATCACTCCCCAATCCTCATGGTCCAATCATGTAAAATCATTTTAATTGTCAAAAACATCATAATCACTTTCTCAGATATCCACTATCAGGTAGATGCTAGGCCCTCTAGCTAGACAGGATTTTCTTTCTTTTTTGAGTTAACACTTATTTATCCTTCAAAATTTGCCAAACACTTTAAATTTCCTGAGAATCTATTCCTGACCCCTAAATCAGAATTAGATATCCTCCTATTCCTTTTAAAGCAGTAGAGTTTCTATTACAGTATGAGTCATACTATAATTATCTATTTATCCTCCTCCAATGCCACTGCAAAAACTACATCAAGTTTGAATTTCCTGAGGGGAAACAGCATATCTTTTGTCTCTCATACCTCACATATTAAATTAAACAAGTGTTAGGTGAATAAATGCATGAGCCCCACAATTTCAGTATGGTGGGGAACCCTCACATCTATCTTCAGTCTTCACCTGCCTCCCTAGAGCTAGGTCTCCTTTTCTAAGTTCCTGATGGCTATCTCCACATGTGTGCCTACTTAAAAGGTCTAAAAATGAATTCATTATTTTCCCCCACCCCTTTCCCCACTGCCCAAAATCTGCTTCTCCCCTTATTATGGTTCAAATGTTTGTAAGTCTCCAATATTCATGTTGGAACCTAAGATCCAATGTGATAGTATTAAGAGATAGACCTTTGAGGAAGTGATTAAGTTATGAGGGCTTCATCCTCATAAATGAGATTAAAAGACAGGCTTCAGAGAGCTGCTGACCCTTTTCCCTTCCATGCCTTCCACCAAGTGAGGACACAGCTTTTGTCCCCTCCAGAGGACAGAGCATTCAAGGTGCCATCTTGGAAGCAGAGACTGGACCCTCACAAAACCACCTGCTGGTTAGTACCTTGATCTGGGATTTCCCAGCCTCCATAACTATAAGCAATAAATGTAGTATGTTTATAAATTATTCAGGCATTTTGTCACAGCAGCAAGAACAGACTAAGACACCCTCTAAATTTCTATCCCAACCTAAGGATTTTTGTCCAGTTTCCCAGTCTAGAAACCTCAATATCTTTATCATTTTCATTTTCATTACACAATGAGGTGATTTTTCAAAAACCAGTTAATTCATCCTAAAATAATCCACTAATTCTGTATTTACCAAAATGTATTTAAAAGAACACTAGTCTTGAGGACATTAATTGGTATAATGTGAAAAAAAAAATGGGGGTTCTTTGGCCAAATGAACTGGGGTTAGCAAGGTTAAAAAAAGTAAACAGATTTCTGCAGTATTTCCCAGACCTTTCAATATATTAATAATCAATATGAATCTCCAATAAGGAATATAACATGTATTTTTCAAAAATGTTTCTAACCAAAGAACCCTTTGTCAGGTCACTGAACCTCTCAGGACTAACAATCTGAAGAGCATGCTTTGAGAAATGCTGATGGAACAGCCCTCCTCCACACTTTATGCTTCCCTACTGCCCTAATTTAGGCCCTGTCATCTCTCACCTGGACAGCCTCGTCACTTAGTTTTCTGTCATCCCTCTCTCTACAGTCTCTGTTGCCAGTTTTATTTTTCTAACAGAAAGATCTGATCATACCTCACCCCTTCCCCCACCTACAGCTTTGAAATCATCATGTCTTTCCATTAAACATAAGTTCAAATTCTAGGTCTACTATCATATTCCCTTCAAACTTTAGCCCACCCATCTTCCAAAATTTGTTTCCTACCACATCTCTGCCTTCCCAAAATATACCATGTTCTTACATCCTTCAGAGCTTTAACACATTTTGTTCCTGCGGCTCAAAATGGCCTCTCCTGTTTCCATCCTACTTCTCCTGAAAACCCAGTTCTAGAGATCTCTTCTGATAAATTTTCAGGAGAGATCTCTTCTGGCCTTTAGTTGGTTACTCCTCAGTGTTTCCATAATGCTTCACACTTACCCTCTTACAGCAACTGTTACACTGTATAGTAAGAAATTACCCTGTGTTTATCCTCACCATTACTCTCTGAGCCTTTTTATTTCTGTTTCTACAGCTCCTAACTTAGTTCCTGGCACAGAGCAGTCACTCTTTGTTGAATAGGAAAAATACAAATGAGTGCATGAATAAATAAACATCTTTAGAAATAACATAAGAGGAAAAAAATAAGATGAGGCTGTGAAAGCTATACTAGAAATGTATTATAAGTGGTCATGTATTCAAGCCATTAGTTTCAGGAAAACAGTATCACTTTGCTTAAATCAATCTCTAATTTATACCTACCATGTTACTGATAGAGGATAAACCTTTACAATTTATTTTAAGGGAAAACTCTATAGCTTCCAAAAATCATTTTAGTGTTTTGAGGAAACACACTCACGAGTAAGTTGCCTATCCTATCGATCCTGCTCAAAAACAGAATTCAGGGCTATCATCCATGGCTGCTTTAGCATCTGTGAAATAAACAGTCTCTGAGGATTTTCACTAGGAAGAAGATCACTTCTGGAAGACATGGCTAACCAGTTTTGTTCCCCTAAATTTCTCTTTCCCTTTAGAATGGGTTCATCTCAATTTCTGGTGGTGCCCAGAGACTGGCAGCTCTAATAATCAGGCCTCCCTACCTTTCACTCTTAAGATTTAAAGTTCAGGGAATTATTTGAACAAGAAAATTCCATTACAGGCACATAAGAAGCAAACAGTTTTGCCTGTGGGTTTGCTGAATTTCTTCAACCATACTTACCTTTCACAATTAGATCTATGGGCCTGCATCTTTCTCTTCTACTAAAAATGTGTGGTTCCTTGAAGGAGATTCGCTGTGGGGGTTCCTGAAGATGTTCACTTTTGGAAAGCTCCTTGGGAAAGCAAATCCTTCTGAGTGCTGCCCGATGTTCTTGCACCACATCATGTGTTTCCTTTTTGTCAATCTCCAAAGGTATGTATTTACCAGATTTCGGCTTTTGGTGTTTCTTTCTGAAAACATTTATAGAAGTTCCTTGAACTTTATTCTATGAATAAAACAAAAACAGATTTTGGCAAAATTTAATTTTAGTATGCATTATTTAATAAAGTTATATAATAAATTTTATTAATAAGTTCACAAAATTGCATCTCTACTAGATACATTTTACAAAGTACCTTACTGTATAAGACATTTACTCTTATACAGTAAATTACAAATGACAATAACCAGCTAAATCAGACGTTATTCTACGTCACTCTCTAAAAGTCCTTCACAAGCATAAGGATTATATTCCACTTTGAAAGAAATGTAAATTTTAAAATAGCAACTATCTCCCCAAAGTGATATTTTTAATTACAGGTTTCAAGTCCATTGTAAAATAGGAGTTTTTCAAATAAACATATAGGAATTAAATTATTTTCAACCATCTTTGAAGAACTTTCAGATGTCCATAAAATGCTAACATCCCCCAAACCTCTTCCTTTGCTGAACCAGAAATAACTGAACATACATGGAGGTAAGCTCTCAAAAAGAGCATATTGGGAATAGGACACACATTTCATATCCTTTTAATCAAAGTTGCTTCTTTATTTTGACCACCTTGAACAACAGAGAAATAATACAGCTCCAAAGTTCTGACAGGTAATTATCCAAATAGCGTAACTGTTCTACACACAGACAGAGCTATAGTTCTTCCCTATTCCTCCAACAACACACACACCCAAAAAAAGATTTAGAAAAATTCAAATTGTTGCTGACTCAAAAAGTCAATAAGAAGGTTTTAGTGTGCTAGTATTACATTTGCCAGGCAACCGAAGATGGAACATTGGGCTGTTATTATTCGATAAAAATTTCAAAACAGGTCAAGTTTCTGAGGCACATCTGTCTAACTCTGAAGACTGTGAAACGTTCATCCCATGTTCCCACCAGTGAAATTAATATAATTGAAAATCTTTTAAATTGGTTAGAGGAAAAACTAGTTAAGCAATATGTACAATGTTGATTACAAGATTAAAACTACGTATGGCCAGTCTTGGCATAGAGGACCATTCAAAAGAAACACAAGTAAAAATTAGAATCCCCCTCTCCAACCACAAGAAATATTGAAAAATATTTAAAAGCTTACTTAAAAATTTGTTTAAAAAAATTTTTAAGTATTCAAAAGGGGACTAGGATCATTTGACACACAGTAAACCATCCGAAGGTACCCTCCCTGCACCTGTCTTCCCAAAGGGCCATCGCTCACAATAGTTATCCCTTCCCCAAATTTGCTGCCTCCCCTATAGATGCTCTCTTCCAAAATGTCACCCTGTGCTGTGCTGACACTCCTCCATCTCTTTGCTATCCCTTTCCCTTTCACTCCTTCTTCTCACGTTCCAAATATATGCCATTCAGCAAATATTTATTGAGCCAAGCATAATCATTATTGCTAGAGATACAACATTCAAAAAACAGTCTATACCCTCAAGGATCTATCAGACCAGCAAACAGACAATCCTAATGCAAAAAGACACATGGAATATAACGTATCATGCTAAGGTAATCATGCTAAGAGTATAGAAGAGACTCATCTCACAATATGTTTTCTAGTTTAGCTTTGTCTAAACAGCATTTAAAGGGATATTTACTTGAGATGATAAATCCAATTATTTATGTTTAAATTCTTCAAAAAAATTAAAATTGTATTAAATGTACAAATTAAACACATTTGTATAATTAAAATTCATATAACTAAAAAATCTTATTTTAAAATGTCATTTGAAATCAATTTTTATAGCTAGTGAGGATTTCATTTTTCTCTTCAATTCTATTCTCTTTTCTATTTATTTGATCACATATCAGGGTTGATGCAATCCTTTGGAATAATCATTGTAGTATGCAAAAATTTTTAAATGTAACATTAGATAAATGCAAAGGACTAACCTCATTTATTTTCTCATAATGTTGGGCAATGAGAGTTTTTGCTTCTTGAAAAAAGTCTTGCTTGGTGATCTCTAATGTAGGACCTAATATAGAAACAGAGAAACATTTTTTAAGCAGTTAATGTGAAAGTAAATTTTATAAGTTGACATTATAAAAGGAAGCAAAAGAATATAATGATCTCTTAACATAATATTTTGCTTTTAAGAAGAAATATAAGCTTGTAATGGTCATGTGATAATCCTAAGTTACTTCAGTCCAGAGAAACAAAGAAAATACACAAAACAAACACCCTTCAGTTCTGAAAGTCCTTTAAATGTTACTGTATAGAAGATATAACAACATGTTTTGGGCACAAAAGTTATTAACAAGTCTATCTGTGTTTTCCATACTTGATGACTAATGTATGAAGCTGTACATTTCCTCAAGAGTATTTACCTTCCAACTTGTTGATAAAATTATAACTGTAAAATAAAATGCCTCAATAAATTAAATAGAAGCAGCACTGAAATAAAAAAAAACACATACCTATGGATGGATGATGCTATAACAATTCTTATTTCTATTTTTTAAGTTTCTTAATTTCTTTCTACTTTTCTTTTTTTGTGTGTGAGACAGAGTCTCCCTCTGTTGCCCAATCTGGAGTACAGTGGCACAATTATGGCTGAGTGCAACCTCTGCTTTCCAAGCTCGAGCAATCCTCCCACCTCAGCCTTCTGAGTATCTGGAACTATAGGCATGCACCACCACATCCAGCTAATTTTTGTACTTATTTTAGAAATGGGGTTTCACCATGTTGCCCAGGCTGGTCTTGAACTCCAGGGCTCAAGCAATCTACCTGCCTTGGTCTCCCAAAGTGCTGGGATTACAGGTATGACCCAAAGCACCCAGCCTAAGTTTCTTAATTTCTTTTAAACAGGGCTATGTATACAATTCTACAGCATGTAGACTATATCCTTCTCATTTAGCCTTGTCTAAGTTTTCCTCTTTATATATTTTCTTTATTATTAGCTGATTGTGTGCTTGCTTCAGCAGCACAAATACTAAAAATTGAATTATATTAGAGGATCCAGACACTTAAAAGTGTTTCTTGGCTTCCTCCTCTTAACTTAAACTCAGCAAAATTTAAATATATTACCTATTCAACGTCTGGCCAGTGGGCTCTCTGTTTTTATAACTCTACCTCCGTTAGTACTCTTACTATGAAGGTTTTTCTCCTCTTCACCCACTCAAATTTTAAGCAATTAAAAACTCAATCTTCATGTAAATCAAAACTATAATGAGATACCACCACACTCAACAAAATGGCTAAAATTTAAAAAACTGATAACACCAAATGTTGATGAGGCTGTAGAGTTACTGGAACCCTCAAGTATTGCTGGTAGAAACGTAAAACAGCATAATCAGTTTGGAAAAGGTATGGCAATCTCTTATAAAGCTAAATATACTTCCATCCTACAACCCAGCAATTCCACTCCTAGGTATTTACCAGAGAGAATGAAAATGTATGTTTTCAAAAGATTTGTACAAAAATGTTTACAGTAGCTTTACTCATAATAATTCTAAATTGAAAACAGCCCAGATATATAACAACAGGAGAGTTGATAAGCTATGGTTATATGTGTACAATAAACTACTACTTAGCAATAAAGAGATACTGACATGTACAACACTATGGATAAATTTCAAAAATATTATGCCAAGTTAAAGCAGACTTACACAAAAAAGCACATACTATATGGTTCCACTTATACAAAGTTCTAGAACAGATAAAACTAATCTATGGTAGAAAAAACAAACAAAACAGTTATTATTCTGTTGGAAGGTATGATGGATTAACTGAGAAGTGACATGAAGGAAATTTCTGGAGTGATGGGAATGTTCTGTATTTTGATAAGAATTTGGATTACACAGGCATATATTATCATTAGTGTACTCATTGTACACTTAAGATTTGTGCATTTCATTGTATGTACATTTTATATCAAAAGAAGAAAAACTATAAACAAATAATGAATTCTAACTAATGATATGCATGTTGATTGATGGATGAGTATGTGACAAATCAAGTACAGTAAAATATTAATGGTAAGAAACTTGGTAGTAAGTATATGGGCATTGATTTAACATTCTTTCAAGTTTGCTGTACGCTTGAAAATTTCACAATAAATTATTGAAGGCCAAACTCTCCCTTTATTCTTGCACAAAATATCTCCTTGCTTTTCACCAGGTAGACTCACAGGCCACAGGCAGCTGCTACCTTAGGGTAATGAGGTCTTGAGGAATGAAGCCTGGTTCACATTAATTTCCCAATTCAAAGCCAAAAGAATCACTGTCCTCACATGGAAAGGGCAAGAGTTCTGGAATTAAAACTGTTTCATCAAATTTCAACTAAAATCTAATTTTGCTTTGAGGAGGCCTCTAGCCAGAGCATTTACTTCATGGAGGAAAGGCTGGGAGTTATTCCTAGGTGTAACTTCATAACCTGTCCTCCTTTCCCTTCTCTCATGACAGCCCTTTCCTCCTTTATTTCCCTTCTTCTTACTAATCAAATATCCATTACCATTACTTTAATTACAATCACTTATAATTACAATATTGTCATGTGTTGTGCACGTGACAAGCAATATAATTTATTAATATATTAAGTCACTGGGTTGTTTTGTTGTTGGAAATGTAGCTTTGTGGAAATCATCATGTCTTCATTTCAGACAAGACCTTAGAGATGAGCTAGTCTTCATTTACAGGCAAAGTTCTGAGATGCAGAGACCTGACAGCCTGCTGAAGTCACACAGCAGTGCTGCGGCTCTGCATAGGTACTGTGCTCGTGAGTTCCTTGCTGCGCTTTTCTACAAATCTACTGCTTTTCCCAATACCATGTACTCCCTCTAAGTACTGGAAATTCCTCTGAAACTTGGCTGGTCACCCTGGTGAGATACACACATTTCCCTGACACTTGCATTTTAAGCCAGCACTCCTGCCCCTTTTTGTCATTTAATGTGCTGATGCAGCTGTTCCGATTTCCCCCTTTGTAACTAGAATTAGCTTTTGACAGAGTAGTTAAATTCCCAAAGTAGCATTTTCTTCCTGGCTGGGCTCTTTGTTGATTAGTCCCTGATTTCCCCTGTCCACAAATGCCACCCATCACCTGTGGACCGTGGAGAAGCTATATGTGATCTGGCAGCCCTAATGTCCTTATTGGGGCCAGAAAGCAGATCTTGACATATCAAGGTATTGACACAGCATACCCATACAGTCAGGTCATGAGATTATTGAGCAGAACAAGGCCTGAGACTTGTTCATAAAGGAGCAGAGAAAGGCAGCCATGGTCGGAAAGTAGAAATTTCACATAGATCCTGAAATGGCTCCAATGAAGGCATGTGGACATTGACTTCCAGCTGGCAGTCCTGAGTCCTTGTTGTCATTAGAGGCAATGAGGTAGCTGTTCTGATTTTCTACCATCACTAAAAAGTAGCCTTTGAACAAAAGAGTTAAATTCACAAGATACAACAAGATAACTCATACCTCAATGCCTTAGAAAAGACAATGCTAGCATCATTTATTTTTATAATTTCCAAGCACAAGTATCTATTCCACAAATGAGTCTAAAAATTACAAGAAATTAAGCAACATTTATATTAAAGCTCCAGCTAGTCAATAATCTTTGAGGCTTCTCTTTTCCTTGTTCGTAATGGGGTAAGAATATAAGTTTGCATCTTTTACACGTTCAAGTGCACTTCATCTATTATTTTGAGGAAGTTGCCAAGGTCTGTTCCTTCTTTATTACAAAAACTATACTTATAACTTAATTTGCAAATACATATTGCTAGTATATAAAATGATTTTTAAGAGCTCTTATTCCTGAGTCACACAATTTTGTGCTTGAATTCCAGTTTGCTCATGAACCTTATTGTCTTAAGCCTTGTTTTTTTATTTGTAAACTGAGGATAATAATAACATATGTCACAGAGATTTGTTTGAAGATTAACTTAAACATTGTTACAAAACAGCACAGCACCTGACATATAAGCTTTCAATAAATGTGAGAAATTTTATTATTTTTGATATTATTGTATTACTATCATTGGGCTAAACTTTTCTCCAAGAGTGTTTATATAATTACTTTTTTAAGTCAATCCTCATTTCTTCAAAATCACAAAGATAACTTCCTAATGCAGTTTGGGTAAATTGTCTTATTAAAATTCCTTTTATCCAAAACTAACCAACATGTTTGCAATTAATCAAATATTTTCATACATAGGATTCTTCATGTTATTAAAGCCCCCAAAAGAAATAGTAAGTCATTATAAGCAATAAATGTTTTGCAATAAAGTTCATGAAGAGGTTGAAATGGTCATATTAAACTCATCTAACATATGAGTGTAAATACTAACATTTCCATAGAAAAAAAAAATATGAGTAGCTCTAATCCCAAATATTTCACTAGCCTAAAACATCTTCATACATTTCTTTTATCTTTAAAAAAACCTCATTTTTCATATATCATCAGCTTAACACAATTGTAATGATGGTTCATAAAACCAGATTTCTCTACTACTTTAGAGGTTCTACAGAGTTGCTCCAGTGAACCTCTGAAGTGAAGATACAAAAAGAAAATCGAGTCATGGAAACTATGACAGAGAATGAGCCATCTCTTAATTAGAATCATTGAGTAAGTATTTTCTGTATCCAAAAAGCCCCAGGGGCTTAAAAACATTTGTTTTTCATAACCATAATAAAAACAACTGGTCATACTCAGAGGGTTTCCATCCTTCCCATTAATAGGCTACATTTTCAGAGAGGCTTCACATAAATTTATTTAAAAGATAATCTTAAGCAAAGATGTGTGACCACATGGCTAAGGCCAACCCTGTGTGTGTAATCAGAGTAAATGCCTGACAGGTGTAACAAAAGCCTCACCTCAGACACAACGGACTCAGTTTAGCACATATTAATTAGGTACCTACTAAGTGCTAGATGCTGTTTTGATGCTAAATGTGCTAAAATAAGTAAGACTAGCTATTTCTGTCTTCCAAGTTCTTAAGAATCTAGTGCCAGAAAAAATGTGTAAATAAATGCCTTGACAGTCAGTTAAGATGGGCACCGTGATAGAAGCCAACATAAACCACCAACACCCCCTACTGCTAGCTCACTAATGTGAATTTCCCTTTAAAAAGATAAAGCTTTACACTGTATTATTGAAAATAATATTGAAAACAGAAATGTCCCAAGAGAAATAACACGTGAATGGAAGCCAGGCTAAGGCAGTGGTTTTAAATATGTGCTTCATTAATTTCATGTGCCTTGGGGCTGCTTCCTTCTTTCAATCAGAGAAGCTCAGATCTTATCTGATTTACATATTTGAGCTCTTCCTAAGTTTTATTTTGCAGAATTTCTTTGCTGAAAAGTAAACACACACCAGCTAAGCAAAAAACAAATAAAGGTCTGAATAACAGTGCATCTGTGGACAGAACCTGCTTGTAAACAGGTTCAGATGGAGAGAAGGATTCGATTCGAGTGCCAAGAAGTGGGGAGAAGCTGTAGAGAGGAGAAGCTGAAGAGCAGAGAAGCTGGAACTAAGGCCATCAGTTCTAGGGTAAAGAATTATGGAAGCTGGAAAGTAAGTAGAAGCTCTTTGGACAAAAACTTCAAATATAATAATTTATATTAATTTCATTACATGTAAGTGAAGAAAACACAAATTATTTCTAATTTCTTCCTAAAAAGAGTTAAAGAACCAAATAAAACCCAAATTTCAAGTGGCATCTGGTTATCATCTCCTAAAACACATATTCAACATGTTTTCTCATAATATATTCTTCATTAAGATTCAACTCTTCAGTTCCAAATTAAAGGCACTCTCTTGAGTTGTCTCTTATGGACTCACTTTCCCCCTCCCTTATTCTCTGGTCTTCTTTAACAAAGTATCTTGCCTTCTTTGCACTAAGAAATGCTAATAAGTTTCATATATACCTCAGACAGATTTTACAGGGTACTGCCCAAAAATCTTTCTATGTTAATATTTCTCAGACTGTGGTTAGGTTGCTAAGGAGATGTAGGGAAATGCCAAGCTCACAGCATCAAGGTCATGTGGGCATGACCTAAGGCAAAATGGAACTAGAGAACATTCCTCCTCCACTTCCTGGATCTTCCACCCTTTCTGACCTTCCCATCTTTAAAAATGTTCTGTGTTATCCAAATAAAAACAGAGTTAAAGTGATCATCACAGAGCTCTATTGGCAGCCCTGGGCAGATGCCAGCTGGCCTGTATCATATACTGTCATGGGTAACAGGAGCCAAGAGGAAGTAGCAGAACAGTAATAGCCTCAGCTCTATGTGCAGCACTATATCTTAGGATTGCTTGTATTTGTTGCCAAGTCTAGATTAACTCCAAAAGAAATATAATGTGTAATTAATAATAATGTATGGTATACCTGAAATTTGCTAAGAGAGCTCTTAAGTAGTCTCATCACACCAGAAAAAAAGCTAACTATGTGAAGTAAAAGATACTATAATTAGCTAGATAGTGGTAATAATTTTACAATGTGTATGTATGTTAACACACACGTTGCACACCTTAATATATATTCAATTTTTATTTGTGAATTATACCTCAATAAAGGTGGATCATACAGTGTAAACTGAATATGTAATTTATATGTAATTTAAATTTTTCTAGTAGACATACTAAAATAGGTGAAATTAATTTGTATAACATAATTTTCATAGAATATTTAAATAAAATACATCTAAATATTACCATTTCAACATTAATCAATATTTAAAATGAATTAGATATTTTACATTCTTTTTTGTTCCATCTTCAAAACTCTATATGTATTTTGTTTGTAGTTACATACATCTCAACTCACATGCTAAATTTTTATCAGAACTACTTAATCTGTATTTACATTTTATAAAATCATCACTTGAAAAAACAGATTTACATGCCCAAATTTGTTCCAAACATGCTTAAAGGTTTTCCAATAACTGAATTATCAGTTTTTAATTTTAAATTAAAATTCATTAAATTTAAATTAAATATTCAGTTCCTTAGTTTTGCCAGCCACATTTCAAGGACTGAATAACCCATGTGACAAGTGGATACCATATGGGACAGCACAATAAGTTAAAAAGATCTCTCAAAAGTTGGTTATTTTTAAATAAAGGGAATGGAATAAATCCTTTCAAGATGTGCCAATAAGTGTAGTGCTCTGAGGGTCACTAATTAATAGAAAAGACTGGTTAAAACAGTTGGAGTGTTATGACTTGTATGTCAACTTGTTAGGTTAGCATAGATACTCACATTTTGCTTTTTCAGGTGTAGCCTCTGCAGTAGTCATGAGGGGCAGTTAGGATGATCTTCTTTTTTAAAGGGTGAGCTCCAACTCCTTAAACACAGTTATATTAAGTAATTCAGTGATGATAAATATTTATTTTTAGCTATTTCTTTTGCTCACTTATAGGCAAATAGGGTGAATGATTAAAAATTTTTATATGTCATTTCTGTGCTCTATAACCTTCAATGCCTTCCCCTCCAAAACACAATAACAATAGCTAGCACTGGGTAGGGCTCTGTAGTTTATTGAATGCTCATATACACATTGCCTTACTGGATCTAAGCAACCTGATAGGAACTATTATTATGAATATTTGGCAGATGTAGATATTGGAGCTTAGGGAAGTAAAATAACTTGTCAAGGTAAGAAGCTATGTAGTGGCATGTGCAAAACTCAAATCCAGATGTTTGGGCTCAAGACCTTATGCAGGTCTCTCTGATTTCCTACTACTTTCTACTACTTGCTTTCTTAGAACTTTCAACTAATATCCAGTTAATACCTGGCACATACCTTATACACTCCTGCCCTCAGCTTAGGTTTATGCCAGCCTTCCACTCAGAATGCCTTGACCTCTCATCTATATTTATTTATATCCTACCTGCCCTCAAAGCCTAGGTTCAAATCCTACCTCTTCCATGACGACCCAGCCTCTGTTCCTGTGATCTGTTCCTCTCTTAAATACAGTAGTTATGTTGTCTGTGCCTCTCCCCATAAATTTATCAGATGTTGTCTGTGTACAGGGCTAAAAACACAGAGTGATCGACATATACTATATCTATATTCCCAATTTAGTCCTATATATTCCCAGTTAGACTCCAAATGCCTTGAAAACAAAACTACACTTTATAAAAGTAGTTCTCCATGCTGGATGACTATCAGAATCACCTAAGGAGTTTTTAACCATATGCCTAGAGTGGGACCTAGGCATCTGCATTTTTTAAAGTTTCCCAGAATATTTAAATGTTCAGTTAGAGGAATGAAATCTGCCTTGTGCCTCATCCTTCATGGTTCCCAGCTCAGTGCATTGCATTCTGGAGGTGCTCAATAACGGGCTGATTAATGGGTTCATTAGCTGAGCCCTTGTACATTTGACATTATCATCACTTCGAAAGCATTATCCAAAATGTATCAAATGCTACCTCTATAGCCAAGGAGTCAGTTACACCAGTGCATACTACTATATGCTCAAATGGCTTTACAATTAGAAATGGGAATATTAAATGCTTTAGCAGAGTTCCATGGAGGCCCTTGTTCTAAGAGTCTATGTATAATTGTTCAGTTGGCAGACTCCACTAACAAACTATGAGTTCAGAATTCAAAACCTATTAAATAATTTGGTAATTATTTCAGTAAATCTGTAAGCCAGCTTTGCCCTATGAAAGTCAGGACCCTGTAGCCTCACGCGCTTAGATAAAAGGCTACAACACTTTTCTTCAGCTTCTACCCAGAGTGGGGAAAATACTACTGCAGTTACAGTTTTAAAATAGCAAATCTGGAACAACCAAAAATGATTAAATCTCAAATTGTCAGCATCATCTCATGGGCTAGAGCACAGAACATGTTACCTTGTCTGCCTAGTTCTGCAAATGAATTGGGATAAATTAAAATACTGCATCTCCCTCAGCAATTAACAATCAGAACTCATCTTCTGGTCTGGCTTAATTACTGTCTTCTTTATTTTTAAGTATAAAAAGGAAATAGAAGTGTTTTGTGCTCCATCATTTTCTTGTTTTAATCTCCATAGAAATGGACTCTTCTCTGGGTCTGTTGGCTCCTCCACCTTAATTCAGTGTGCCAGGAGTGTCAGCCTGCATTAAATTGGCTGGCAAGCAAGACATCCCACTGTCCTTTTAATGCAGAAAACTAGCCAAGCATCCTAAGGGGTGCTGGCATGGTAATGTCCCTGCAAACTTGAGGTGATGAGGGAGGACTCTGAGACAGGAGCTGGGAGTATAGAAAGGCCATGAAGGATGGAATTGCTTAGAGATGGGCACAATGACGCAAAATATCAGCAAATGGGGCCCCTCTCCACTTTAAGTCTCCAGCAGACAGTTACGAGACGCTGAGTCCTTCCTGATGCATCCATCAATTAATAAAAGCCTATTTAGTGCCTGAGTTGTGCAAGGGACTTGCCATTTATTTCAGGAGAAAAAGCCAAAAACATAAATCAAATTGTATATAAAGATGCAAACAACATGGAAAAAAGTATGCCAGATGTCACAAGGACATACGTGAGCTTTGTGAAATAAGTGATATAAATCAGTGAGTACTATGACTTCAAATGAGGACACATCACCGAGGCCTGAGGTGACATAAAAGAGGGTTCAAGAAGAACTGAGCTACTTATACATGGAAGGGTGAGCACAGGGTTAATCAGAACCGAATGCTAGCCAGTACACCCCTGTAGTACTGACTAACAGTCCTGAGTGGATCAGAATGGCTAACTTAAGAGCAGAGAAGACAGGGAGGTGAGAGAAAAAGCACAAGCAAAGGCATGGAGGTGACAATACACGTAGTCTGGGGGACATCAAGTTGCGTGTCTATTTGATGGTAGCAGAGGGCTACATTTTATGCTGCTGAAATGGTAAAAGAACTGTTGAAAGTTTTTGAACAGGGCGTTGACATAACCAATGTTCTAGAATGTAACTTCCATAAAGGCAAAGATTCTGTTTTCCTCTCTGGAATCATCCATGCCTTGAACAAGGCTTGGCATTTAGAAGGATCTCAAAAAGCATTTGCTATTTGTATAATCAGTAATTATAGCAACAGCATACTGGACAGGGATGGCCTACCTTCTCCCATTTCCTTCAGCACATCTGTGAAAAAGTTCTTTCACCCTTTCTTTTACAGTAGATGTAACTTAAGGGTCTCTGAAACTGGGCTGCAGGAGTGCTAAGGATTTCTAATTCCATTTCTACATGGATGAAAGACAAACAGAAGTAGAAACTATTTCCCTACTTTATCTTCTTAGCTTGACATTCCTAAAGTAGATGACTGATAAGACTTTAAGGCTGGGTGCAGTGGCTCAGTACGATAATCCCAGGACTTTGGGAAGCTAAGGAAGAAGGATTGTTTGAGCTCCTTCTCAACAAAGAATACAAAAATTAACCAGGTGTGGTGCATTCATGTAGTCCCAGCTACTCTACTGGAGGCTGAGGTGGGAGGATCAGTTGAGCCTGGGAGGTCAAGGCTACAGGGAGCCATGATCATGCCACTGCATTCCAGCCTGGGCAACAGAGTGAGACCCTGTCTCAAAGAAAAGAAAAAGAAAAAGAAAAAGACAAGACAAGACTTTATCATGGCCCTTATAATTCAGTATTCTTTGGCAAAAAAAAAAAAAATAATAAATGCCTTATGGTAATTAGCAGGATGCAGGGAAACAAGCCATGCTCCAGGGATCTGGAAAGGCAGTTTCAGCAGTTGATGTTATAGCAAATGGAAGTCCTCATTTACTACCCCAAACTTTCTCCCCACTGTCCCTCTACCTCAATCCTCCCAACCCTGAATCCTACTTTCACCCTTCCCCATTTCTCTATCTTAGAAATTGTACCTATATCCACTTAGTTGCTCAAGCCATAAATCTTTTATTTCTCCTATATTTTTGTCTACCATATCCAGTTCATCGAGTCTTCTAGGTTTTTAACTAAAAAATACATCTGCTTCTCCCCATCTTCATCTCCCAGCCACAATCATTTCATTCTGGGACTGCTGAAATAGCTTCTTAACTGCTCTCTCAATTTCCACTCTTTCTCTGCCAATTTGTTCTCCACACAGCAGAACTCATCTTCTTAATTGTGTATCAGATTATATTATTTCCCTTCCATGGTTTCTGAACTTCATTTAAAATAAAACCTAACCTCTTGCCCTGAGCTCTTCTCTCTTATGAAACTGAGTACATATGGGTGATAAGCATACGACTGGTATTCCACAACTCCACACAGAACTGAGCTAGGAAGCTTGGTTTGACTTCTCTTGGACTTAGTTTTCTCATTTACAAGGCAAAATTCTAGGATGAGAAGATCTCTAAGACCCCACCAGTTTCTAAAACTCTATTATTCCATTGCTTTTGTGTATTATGCTAAAAAATAGTTGGCTCCAAATCCAAGAAATCAACTGCATGGGCAAGAGTTCGTGCCTCCCTCCTGTCCTTCTCTACTTTACTCTGTGCTCTATAACTCTAGAGCAGAATACCAATAAAAGCAGTCTAGACAGGCCACTTCTGGTCATGTCCCTAGTTGCAGGCCTCATCATGTGTCTCTCAAGCCTAGGCCACTAGGACCTCCCTCCCAGCTTTTGTCCTAGCCACCCTTCTCTGATAAGTATAAGTCCCCTTCCACTTTTCCTCTACTAAGTCAACAAGGACCTTTAGGTTATTTTCTGGATTTTCTTTCTGACTTCTGTGAAGTATCCTGGTGTCTCAGACCAAATCATCAGATCTGCTAGCACCAAACAATAGGAATAAGAAAAGAGAAAGGAGAGCAGTTAAAGAAAACCAAACAGAACAAGTCCCAATGAGGGCCAATATAACAGGGTCAATACTAGGCATCTAAAATGTGCAAAGGTATACAGTCATTTCTCTGTATATGAAGGATTGATTCCAAGACCCCTGTAGATGTCAAAATCTGCAGATGCTCAAGTCCCTTATGTAAAATGCCATAGTATTTGCATGTAACCTATGCATACCCTCCCATACAGTTTAAATCATCTCTAGATTATTTATAATGCCTAATGCAATGTAAATGCTATGCAAATAGTTCTAACACCATATTGTTTAGGAAATAATGACAATTTAAAAGTCTGCACATTCAGTACAGACACAATTGTCCATTTTTTAAAAATATTTTCAATCCATGTTTAGTTGAATCTATGTATGTGGAATCCATGGATACAGAGGTCCAACTACAGTAGATGAATAAGGAGAAGAAGAAATAAGGAGAATAAGAAACTTATAATTGCATAATTAAATTATAATTCAAACTTGTGAGAGGGCCATAAAATGAGTTGGAAAGAAGATACTCTATGAATTTATGATTAATATCAGGCTAGCTAGGAACCCAGAGACCACATGGAACAGTGGGAAGCCCATGAAATTATACTCCTTTCCTGATGCAGAAACCTTCCTCTAAATCTCTAATTAACTCAGGTTAATATATAACCCAGAACCAGGAAGTGGGAAGGAAAGAAAATAAATGAATCATTAGGATATCACTTTAGCCTACACAAAGCTCAGAGTCTAGGAGCACTGTGATGAGAGCAAACTTGGATTTCAATACTGATTCTGCCATTGCCAAAGTCATCTGAAGCAAACCAATTAATCTCTCTGAGTCCTACCTCCTTGTCTAGAAGCAAAGTATTTAAAATAGACCCATAATATTAAAAACAGCAGCTTCAACTTATGTTTAAAGGAACTCATAAGTCTCAGAAGTCAATGAGAATAACTGGTGGAAAGCCTGACTGCTCTGACTGAAGAGGATCTTATGGGCTCTCCCTGAACTGTCCGTCACTCCCAATTACCTCCCATCCATCTTCAACCCCAGCATTCCAGGTTCAGAGGCTCTCCATCAATGACTTCAAAGGTACCTTCTGGATATAAGTTTTCACTATTTCATAAAATAGATGTTATGTTCTGTTCTTTTATGGGTATGCATGGACACTTACATTAATTAAGAGATCTCAAATATTCCCAGCTTTATATGAAATATTTAAATCTTTAAATCACAAAAAAGCAGTTATTAAGACATTTCAGTTCTCAACTCATTAAAAAGGAGATGTTAATCTGAGAACACTCTCCCATCACACTTTAAAATTCTTACTCTTTTTGACTAAAATGCACTCTTTTTTTTTCACCTTTTGCCTCTATTAATGGGTAAAACCAACGATTCTGAGCCATATTCAACAAGCTATGGAGTTTTTCTGTGATTTTATTTTAGGATTTTGATACAGTTATGTATAAAATAGGATTTGGCAATACATGAACATGTACATTGAAGGTCACTGAAGATCAAAGCTTACCAACAGATGATGGGCTGGGGTTGGTGAGACAAGGCTATCATTCATAGTGGTTAAGTGGAGTAACTTGGGGGTAAAAAGGAAATGATCAATGTTAGACAGAGCCATACTTGACTAGAGATCAACTACTTGAATAAATTGAAATACTGAATTTTTAGTCTATGTATTATCCACAATTCTAAGCACAAATATACCTTACAATATAAAGAACTTTTACAAATCAATGAAAAAGACAGGCAGTTGAATATAAAAATAGGCAACCAAATGGGAAAGAAGCATGTGAACAGATATTCATTCAAAACTCATTCATCAACCAGGAAACACAAATAAAACCACGACCATCACACACACCCAAAATAATGGCTTCTTAAAAAATATCAAATGTTGAGAAAGATATAGAACTACTGAAATATTCACACACTGCCTGTTGCAGTGTTAACTGGTAATCTTCAGGAAACTATTTGGTATTATCTTTAAAAATTGAATCCATAACTATGACCCAAACCTCAGACTCCCAACAGAAAGGCTTATGATGTGTAGCAAAAGGCACATATAAGAATGATCATAGCAGTGCTATTTGTAACAGCTAAAAACTAGAAGCAACCCAAATGTCCATTGACAGTAGAATAGATAATTTGCATTTTATTTATACAATGGAATATTTCACATCAGTGAAAATAAACTGCTATACTCAATGACATAGTATATTCTCACATATATTACTTGGAAAGAAGCCAGCATAAAGAGGACATAATCTATGTTTTTAATAATAAAAAGTTCAAAAACAGGCAAAACTTACTAATGACAATAGGAAACACGATAATGGTGACCTGTGAGGAAAGAATGCAGGGTCTGAGGTGAGGAGCACAAGGAAGGCCTCTGGAATACCCTCCAGAGGATGGGCATTTCTTTATCAGAGGGTGATTATAGAGATGTGTTCACTTCATCTGTATTCATTGAGCTACACACAGGAATTGTGCACTTTTCTGATTATATGTTATAAATCAATCACAATTTACTTAACAATAATTATATACACTTCATTAAAGTTTCAGTATAACCTATTAGAACCCTGAAAATACTACCCTAGTCATTACAGGTAGTTCCATTTCTCCTCTTACACTCACTCAAAAGAAATATGAAGCATAGAGCTTTGGTACAAGCCACCAAGATCTGTGCTGGATTGTAAGCTCCACCAGGGCAGGAACTAGTTGTTTAAATTTCTTTTGTCTCCCATAAGACTGAGCACATGACTACCCAAGTAATAAAACTCTATAAAAACTATCTATCTGAATTCCTGCAAAGAAGTCCTAAAGCATTAGCATTATAATCTTCTTAGTTTTCTCAGAGTTCCTAATATTTATTTGGAAATTCCACTACTACTGAAATGTATGTAAAACCTGTCATGAATTTTTGTACTGTGAATAGTGGGCTTTGCTTATTTAATTTTTTCCCTCTTGTTATCTTGATAAGATTTTGATAGGAAGACCATAATTATCCAATGAGGGGCTAAGTACTTTGATTCAAAGCGAGTGGTAAAGAAACACACACACACACACACACACACCCCAAAAACTGGTTTCAGAAAAGTTCACATTATTCCACATTTTTCTTACCTGAAATTCCCATTCAGTCATTGAATACAACCCTCATATGCAAGAGAAAGGCAGAGGTGGGGGTAATAGAGTGAGGCTTTTCTTGAACAAAATGTTAAAATATTAGAAGCTATGTCTTACTGTAAATTTTATTTCTGGGGAATTTCAGTTAGAAATGTATCTGTTAGGGCATATATGTCCAAGAACAGAAAAAGTAGTAAGAGCCTTCTTCCCTTAGCACTCTGCTATATCAGAAATGATTTCAAAGTATTTTATAAAGAGTCCCACATCAATACATGCAGTTACGCCTTCACTGATAATTGTGGCATGTTATGACTGTTTTTCTTGTGATTTTCACAGATTAAAACAGTGCTGATATAGAAGTACATTCTCCCAGTTATTAATCTCACATGCCTTAAATAGAAGCCATTAACATCTTATAAATAACAATAAAGAGAGAAAATTTATAAAGCATTCCCCGCTGAGATGTTTGGGACACTATGTTAACAGTTAAAGAAAACAATGAAAACACCATAAAGTTAATTACAACAAATTAAATACAATAAATTAAAGGCCAAAACTGTTCAACTGTTTCAATAGAATTATGCTGCACTCAGAAATAGTGATGTTAAAGAGCAAAATCTAGAAATTTGAGCAAATCATGAAATATTGCAAAATTCTGGCTTATATGTTCTGTTTTCTTTTTATCTCTATAACCTTATAAAAACTAGCTAATATTTACAAGGTCTGAAATGGTTTTGGAGCGTTTATATGTAAGGGACAGTTTCAAGGAAAACAACTTTAAAATTGAAAACAGTCTTGGGAGTTGTCTTGTTTAGCCTCTCATTTTACAGGGGAGGGAAGAGCAACATAGGGATATAAGCGATTTCAGCTTAACACTGGATTTGTGAATGAACTGGAACCAGAATATGGGTTTCCTGATTCCTGATGAAGCAAGAATCCCCCTGATGAAATTCCAGGATTTTCCCCTCCGTGAATTTCCCCTCTGTGAACTCTTTCTTTACCTTCTGCTCTCTGATTCAACTCTCTTATTCTACGTTGTTCTAACAGAGACAGTATGACGTCATGCTGAAGAGCAGGGACTTGCTCAGATGGGACTGGGTTCAAGCCCAGGCTTCACCACTTCCTAATCAACAGCCTTAGGCCTTGAGTAATCAATTCATTCCAGTCTGCCTGAGATTTTCCCGGCTTTAAAACTGAAGGTCCTGAATCCTGGGAGCTGCACAGTCCCAGAAATTAGGATGGCAATTTTCTTAACCCTCATAGACTAAGCTCTTTCATCTGTAATAATCATTATATAATCTTCATATCTCACAGGGCTATTGCGAGACCAAATGAATGAATGTCTAAAACATTTAGTACAGGTCTACACCTGGTCCATTCAGTAAGTACTTGTTTCCATATTTGTTAGTTCTTATTGGATCTTATTCTATATTGGAGACGTAAATTTGAGAGTAGTTTAAACCAGAGATTATATGTAAAACCAAGAGAGAGAATGAGTTCTCTGAGAAACAGGGCAAGCAGCAGACTCAGAGAGGGTGGGAATAGCATAGAAAGAACAGAGAACATAAAGGATGGCAAGTGCCTCAAGGCCATATTCGTCAACATCATCAAAGAAGAAAAGAAGGGAATTCTAGGGACATGATATGTGTGGAAGGACTTAGTAATAAACTCTACTCTTGAGTCTATAAATATGTGTGGATTCTGTAAAGAATTAAAACAAAAGTAAGAAAGAGAAAGGATAAGAGATCAATAGGTATGATATTTTGCATACTACATGGGTGACTTTAGAAACATGAAGAGTCCCCAAGAAAGCAAATATTGTCCACAATTAACACATTATGGATGCATACAGTACCATGTCTAACATTCACATCTTTCTAGGAAAAAAGAAAAAATCCCTGGGAGGAATAACACATTGAGTAACTATTATCAAAGCACCTATCTTTTTCTCATCAATATCTGGCTGAAAGGCCAGGCACAGGTGACTCACGCCTGTAATCCCACCACTTTAGGAGGCCGAGGAAGGTGGATCACCTGACGTCAGGAGTTTGAGACCAGCCTGGCCAACATGGTGAAACCCCATCTCTACTAAAAATACAAAAATTAGCCAGGCATGGTAGCATGCACCTGTAATCCCAGCTACTCAGGGGGCTGAGGTAGGAGAATTCCTTGAACCTGGGAGGCAGAGGTTTCAGTGAGCCAAGATCATGCCACTGCACCCCAGCCTGGGTAACAGAACAAGACTGTCTAAAAAAACAAAAAACAAAAAAAACCACTGAAAGTTTTTCCCTAAGGAATGAGACAAGCATAAATAGGGTAGGGACGTACTTTTAGTCATCTTCAAGGGCCAGAAATAGAAAATAAATACAGAGGGGTGATGGGACTGAAGCTGTGGATGCTGTCCCCAGGTCCCAGAAGCAGGTAGAAGCAACCTGGAGTTCAGCTCCAGTGTAGTAACAAGAACTCAGAATAATTCTCACACGACATAGGGGATCACAGCCTGGCTCTGCTAAAAATGACAGCTGAAAAGAAGTAGAAATGCAACTTCCCACTGGTGCTTGATACAGGGGGTTATCACAAGCTCCATGTTTGGAGAGGGAGAGGAGACAGACATGTCTCATCACCATGCCCATGCCACACCACCACTGGCTCAGAAACAGGTTTGAAATATCACTATCAAAGGGACAGGAGCCCCAAGGAACCAATATAAGATCTGGTTTTGGACTGGGAACCCAGTGGCAACTACAAAACTGTGAATCAGAAAGTGGTGAGCATTAGAAGTAAATAAAACATAAAAAATAATAAAACTTACTAGTCTATATAAGCCTGAAAATTATTATGAAATAATTTAAAAATTATTAAACATATGTCCAAAACTAACACTAGAAAAGACAGCCAATAAGATCAATAAGATCAACAATTGGAATAGTAATTCACTCCATAGGAAATGAAAACAAAAATATGAAAAAGAATTTTAAATAAGTAGGTTAAGACTCTACCAAGAGACAGAGGAGGAAATAATGCCTCTAAAAAAGAATATAAAAATATGAAACAAAATAGCCAGAAACAAAATAGAGATATGAAATAGAACAAATTGGAATCCTTTAAATAAAAATATATTCTTTCAAAAATTATATAAGCTTGATATACAGAATAAAATCTGGATTGGACACAGTATAAGAGAATCAGTGAGCTAGAAGATAACACTAAGGAGTTTCCCAAAAGTTGATGAAATGAGATAGAGAAGGAAAGATGAAATAACAATGAAAAGATATAAAGGAAAAATTGAAAGATTCCAATATGTGTATAAAGGAAGCTCGGAGGGGGGGTGGGAAATGGAGGAAAAGCAATATTTGAAGTATCATATTGAAAAATGACATGAATGAGATTAAAAGTACATTCCAGATGCCAAGAAAGAATAACAATAAATCCACACCCAGACACTTC